TTGTGATGGTGTCCCGGTCATGTTTTGATGGTGTCCCGGTCGTGTTGAGACGGTGTCCCGGTCATGTTTTGATGGTGTCCCGGTCCTGTTGTGATGATGTCCTGGTTATGTTTTGGCGGTGTGCCGGTTATGTTTTGATGGTGTCCGGGTCATGTGACGGTGTCCCGGTCATGTTGTGATGGTGTCCTGGTCATTTTGTGATGCTTTTCCCGTCATGTCATGTTGGTGTCCCGGTCACCTTGTGATGGTGTCCCGGTCATGTTGTGATTGTGTCCCAGTCATGTTGTGACGGTGTCCCAGTCATGTTGTGATGGTGTCTCGCTCATGTTGTGACGGTGTCCCGGTCATGTTGTGATGGTGTCCCCGTCATGTCATGCTGGTGTCCCGGTCACCTTGTGATGGTGTCCCGGTTATGTTGTGATGGTGTCCCAATCATGTTGTGACGGTGTCTCGGTCATGTTTTGATGGTGCCCTGGTCATTTTGTGATGGTGTCCCGGTTATGTGATGATGGTGTCCAAGGAAGAGATGGTCGATGTGTTGAAAACAGCAGTGGTTTCCAGATTTTTCTTTTTGTCCCGGTTTGTATCTTGCTATTGGGGTCTCCAGCTGGGCTAATTATCAACCACCTAATGTGGATCAAACACCAGGTTTCGTCTTACTTTCGCTTAACTACTGGTCTTTATGTGCTGGTTTGGCACGTTCTGCTTGGTTACTTAGCCGCCTTGGCTAGCTTTCAGGCAATCCCGAATTCAACCTCATGTCCTATGAAACTAGCTGCTGGTTCATCACCGGCCCGTTGAAGCGTGAACCGAAGAGGTGATGCATGCCAACCTGTTGCTCTTCAAGACCGTGATTGCAGGAGACAGTTGGGGCCAGATCGCTGTCCCCCTCATCCAGGAGACCACCGTGAGAGAGAGAGCAGCTTGAGCCACTTCAGTCGCGGGCAATTCGACTTCGAAGCTCCAGGCTGCAAGCCCTTGATTGAGAAGGATTCTTGAGTTCTCAACGCTTCTAACGATGCTTTTTTCTTGCCTCACCAGCGATCCAAAGCTGTGTTTGGTCGAAGCACCAGGAGCACCCGGAGACGGCGATCATTTTTGTGGCTTGGACGGGCCATGGCGCGATTGGGTGTGTCGCGCCGATTCGAGACAGGACCTATCATCCATGTGAACGATGAATATAGTCATTTAGATTTATAATCTTTTGGGTTTGTCCCATGACCTGCACCAGTCGGTAAACATTTATCACTATTTTAGAGAAGGGCCTTTGCTGACCATCATCACCCACTGTTACTGGTAATGGGATAGACTGTTCGGTTTTCTACAGGTCCGACGTATAGGCATAAGATATTGACAGTTACCGTGAAAGTGATACGCCGTATACGCGACGAGTCATTCCGTTGTTGTTCTGACATCATTTGGTGAAGCCTAATGGAGCAGCTTGGCCAATCAATCATGTTCAAGAGACTCTAAACTCTTTCAATCACAACTGTTTTGGATCTCTTTTGGTTATACATATATATATATATTATGTGATGGCAGTATTTTTTAATGTTTGGTTAATCTCGATTAACCTTTGCATGCTGACGAATGTTCAAAACAGATTGCCCGGTTGTTGGCATATTCAAGCCCGAGCTTCAACAAGCAGATCCAAAGACAGAAGGATCACAGATACAAAGCAAGAAACTCCGACGCAGCTGGGGTGGGGTACTGCAACCAGTGCCGCGGCTTCGAGGCCCAGCCCCCCGTTGGATCTTTGAACCGCTGCAGCCGACCCGAGGTTGGCTCTTTGTTGACCTTGGTCTTTGGCGTTGTGAACCTCATCGTGGCCGTGGTTGTGGCACCTGGGAAGGAATTTTTAGTGCAACTCCACCGTGGCCGCCCGTGCCGCGGTTGGGGATCGTGGTTGGGCGTTGGATTTGATTTGGTGAAAACCCACATCAAACCACCACTTCGTCGACGGTTGGACCATTGGTGACCCCTGCTTAGGACACCTTTGCGGACGCTCGCCAGAATGATGTCCAAAACTTGGCAGAAGAGATGGAAGACGAGATAGCCGCTTGGAAGATACAACATTTTCCTGCTCCCCGGAGCTGAGGGTGACTTCGATCTACTTTGTGACCATGCCAGGTTTTTGTCTTGTGCATAGTTTTCTGTCGTTAACTGTGGGTTGAGAGACAACAAAGAGGGAAGTCGGCATTTTGTAGAGGAAGGTTGGAGTGCTACAAAATGACAGACCCAGGCTCACTTCTCAGTTGCCTAACTTATACTATATAAGGCAAATTGTCATTTTGTCAGACGGACCCCGTTTGTACGTTTGACGTATAGACCCGTATAGACATTGCATTTTGCATTGTGCATCATTGTAAACAGTTTTGCCGATAGAATGAGCCGACCTACTTATATAGTACTACATATTGTATGTTGGTGGTAGGACACTTGCTTGAGACAAGTCATTTTTTGATGTCAGTCACTTTATTGGTGCCAGCTTTTTGGGTTGTTACCGTGCATGAGTTTGATTTTGCCAGCAGTTCAGATCCTTTTTGCCAGGCAGAAAAAGCCTCGTTGATTGGTTTGTTGCGATACTGCCCGTTATATAGGTCATTGCAATTTTTAGCTAAAAGCAAAACATAAGCATTGGCAATCCCAAGTCCACTATGCTACGTCAGGCTAAGTTCAACCCTATATCTCTATCGAATTACTGCATATGAATGTATAATCATGTACATTTATGTTTGCCAGACCGCTTTATTCTAGAAGTTGATAATCTTGAAACAAAAAAAAACACAATCACAAAATACAGCCAGAAAAACAAAAGCAATCATTTAAAACACACACAAACAATGCAAGCAAAAATGGAACAACTCAGCCGGGCTTTCTGGCGCACTTTTTGGAAGCGTCCACGTTCTGGCGTGCATTCTGGCGCGCTTTTGGGGGAGGGTCCACTTTCTAGCGCACTTTTGGGGGAGGGTCCACTTTCTGGTGCACTTTTGGTCGCTTTTCTGCAATTTTTCTCCGGGGCCGGGTAAAAAGTCGCACTTTTAGTCGCTGTTTTTTTGCTCTTTTTTCGCTTTATTTTTGCATGTTTGCGGGAAAAAGAGCGACCAAGAGTGCGACTTTTTACTCGGTCCCGGAGAAAAAAGTGACAAAAAGCGACCAAAGGTGCGACGCTTGGCCCGGCACCAGAAAAGACCCTTGTCCACTACTAACCCTACCCGGCCCCTCCAAACTACCCTTTGTGTTTTGCTTGTTCTTTTTTGGTTGCTTTTTTTTTGCTGTTGTTTTTGCTTTCTTGGTTGCTCTTTGTTTTGCTTGTGCTTTTTTGGTTGCACTTTTGGTTGCATTATTTTTGCTTTCTTGGTTGCTCTTTGTTTTGCTGGTGCTTTTTTGGTTTGTTTTTGTTTTCGCGTTATTGTTTTTTCAAGTTTTTTTTGATTTCTAGAATAAAGATACCTCTGGTGGACACAAATATATATATATATATCATTATATATCCATAATTATCTAATATTATCTATATAGATATATATATATATACCTAAATGGTATATTATATTGACTCGACATTAATTAATTATTAAATATGTGTTTTTGTTTGTTCTCTATTTGTGTGTGTGCTTTTGTTCTTCTGGAACATGGATGGGCCATGCAGAAAATCACTCTGAGGAGCATGACCGGAAGGCCTTGTCCAAGCTCTTTCAACGCATTGACAAAGACGGCAGCGGGCAGCTAACGCTCCGCGAGCTGATCGAAGGGGCTCGACATGACAAAGCCTTCCAGAGCCGTTTCCTCGGTTTTGTCAAGGACTGTTTTGAATTTTCCCCGGTGGATTTCAGGGTTCGAATGGGAGAAGATGTGTCATTTATTGTCACTCCGAAGACACATCCAAGGTTTGAGAGTCATGGACATTGACGAGCATGACCTGGAGCAACTCTTTCACATGAGGCTCAGCACACGTTTTCGAATGTTTTTCGGGTTGCCCGTTGGATCCTGGTCCCCCGTGGTCTGAGTTGATTGGCAGGCGTGGACGTCCACCCCAAGCAGTCCGGCGGTTGAACTCCAGCAGTAACTTCCCGCGAAAGTCACAAAATCAAATACAACTACGACGTCTTTTTGCCGCCCGACCATCCACAATCCTGCAATTGCAAAGAATGGGCAAGAGGGCCAGAGATGACATGTTTTGGACATGGCCGATCTCCTTCATACAAACATATCCAGATTCCCGCACTGAACACATTTCCACTATTCATTGCCGGGGGATGTTTTAGTTTTTAGCCGCCAGGGTCGGCCACTCAGATGTGCGAAGACCCGCAAATAGAACAGATCACCACTCAAAATGTATTGGACACCGTTTTCTCTCCATTTGGGGGGCCACTGCATTCTGGCACACAAACCAACCATGAACCCAAGACTTGGAAAGCTTGACGCAGAGATACCAAGCGGATGTTTCTGGGGTGGAGATTGAAGCACCGAATCCCAACGGGATACCCACCGATGGTCGCGACCGAGGATAGACCTGGACGAATCCGGCACCATTGAAATCTCCGAATTCATTGGCCCACTGAGCAGGCCGAGCAGCTCCATGCCCTCATCGTCTCGAGCAGCCCTTGTTGTGCTTGTGTTTGCGGGGTCCACGCCCGAGCTCACGAGGGATGCAGCCCTTTTTCATCCAGCTGGGTATTGACACGGGTAACATGGAGTGTATAATGGTATTAAAGTGTACTAGTAAATGCTATGGATAATTATGGTCATGGCACTCGGCGTGCCATCCTGGCTTGAGGTGAAAGCGTTGTTGCCCTGCCCCTTGGTCAGTGCAGGTTCTTTTTCAATTTTTGCTTGGCCTCCCGAGTCTCCTCAAGCAGCAGTAGTTGCATCTAATCAAGCTGCTCCTCGGATGTCTAAAAGGAAAGATCTGGAATGATTTGTCAGGCCTTCGCAGACAGCTGAGCTCCGACAGCTCTCCCATCCCGTCAGGTGGGCTCATGATTCGAAGACCGCTCCGCGCTTTATTAAGTACAACATGTTGCAGTCGATGCACCTCCAGCAGGACGGGAAACTGGAGTGGAAGCAACCGACGTACACTTTGATGAACTAATGTGGACAATCGTGGACAGAGTTTGCCAGAGCTGGTTTGGAAGATGTTGTTCCTCCATTCAGGGTCGTCTAGCAGTTTCTCTGTGATTTATAGGAGCAGGTCAGGTCGTTTTTACCATCCCTACGTGCGGTTTGTAATCATTTGTCTTCACAAGGGGGGGCATGCCTAGAGTTCCACTAAGACCTGTTGGCCCGTTTGGGATCTCTTTTCCGAGAGAGATGCGCTGAGCTCCGCCACGCGAGGACCTGTACGATCTTTCAGTGGACTGCTTCAGGGAGCTTGCAGTAGCTGGGCGGCCAATAGTCCAGACATGTCCAGGTATGATCCCATATGATCCCCCATCGAGATTGGTCAAACCCGCTTGCAGCATCCCCATTAAGAGTGTCCTGATACTAGACAGACAGTAGTTTTTCATTCAGTCCTTCTCGTCGCTTCTTGGAACCTGAAACGTGGACGGAGAAGCTTGCCAAGTGGTTGGGTTGGCTGTTTTCAGTTCCCAGATTGGTGTTTTCCCTTCCCGTGGTGTTTCCTTTTCCCAGATTGGTCAGGGCTCCGGGTTTTTGGTTCCCGGATTGGTGTTTCCAGTTCCCGCGGTGTTTTTTCTTCCCACGTTGATGTTTTCGGTTCCCGCGGTGTTTTTGGTTCCCAAGTGGGTTTTTGGTTCCCGCGCGGCGGTGTTTTCGGTGGCCGGCTCGGTTTTTTCAGTGCCCGCGGGTGTTTTCAGTTCCTGTGATGGTGTTTTCGGTTCCCGCCTTGCGTTGAAGAGGGAACAAATGCGCGGATTTTTTCGGTTCCCGCGTCCGGTGTTTTCGGTTCCCGCGTTCGGTGCGTTTAGGTCTCCGGTGTTTCTGGTTTTCGCGTCCGGTGTTTTTGGTTCCCGTGTCGGGTGTGCTGTGATCCCGTGTGAAATGGTGGGAGTCTTGTGTTGTCGCGGGACAACGCGAAAGAATTTTTGTAAAGACACGAACAAACACGAACCACCAAAAGCCACAACCGCTACCACCACCACCACCACCACCACCACCACC